AATCACGACATAGCACTAAGTAAAAAAAATATTTGTGGAGAAGAATTAATTCTTAAATAGATGGGGCTAGCTTCATAAGGTGATAGTTCATCATAATACAAAATCACAAATGCTCATAGATTTTGAAAATATATTTTTGAAAGCATTTTTGTGCGTATTAGATTATTCTAGAGATACATCGTCGAATTAGTTTTTGGCATAAACGAAATGTGTCTCACTTGTCACACTTTTTGTGTATTGGATGCATCCTCATATACATCTCCAAAATATGAAAATAGCATAATTGAATCTTCAGTATGTTGATCCTCACACCATAGAATGGATAAAATAATTTCCAAATAAATTTCAAGTACTTCGAATGAACTAATTTATGTGGGCACACACTAGAAATACATAGTTTAAGACAAATTAAAAAAAAATACATTGATTACTTAGATTATTTACATACTGTAACTTAAAAAATATTGTCTTTTCAATTTATTTATATATCTATATACATATATATTTAGAATCTAACCTCTTAAAACAATGACATGTGGGTAGGAGTGGACAACGGACCGAATTGGACGAGTTCAGATTTAAAAGTGACATCCAACTCAATGCACAGTTGAATCAATAAGGTCTATTTTTACTCATATTCTCACATTGATTTTCACAAATTAAGTTATGGCAGATTGCAGGTTGTTTCGTCTGATTTATTCATATTATTAGGATTATTCATTTTTAGGCCAAATGCCATTATTTGACCTTGACATAAAATTTAAGTTGTATTTCAAATTTTAAATTTAAAAATATGCTGAAAATTCAAAATAGGTTACTCATTATCTCTGGAATTGTGATGTTAATAACATATCCAAAATAGATTAAAACATGACACTGAACGTAAAAGCTAGTTCCTCATATTATTTCTAGAATTCTGATGCTAACACTAACGAATACTAGTTGTTGTTTCCATAAATGAAATTTGATTAACATATCAATCATTGTGTCCTAGTGGCTCTTATTTATCTCATATAGATACAAACACATACAAACATACATAAAATTTTAATATTCATTGGGTGGATTCGAGTACCTGTGGGCCTATTTAAATGAACTGAGCCAGTCCATTTAGATCCACTTGAAATCGAGGTTCAGGCCCGATGAACCCTCAACCCATTTCAACCCAATCCGGTTCAGTTTTTCGAGTTCGGTTATTGCAGGTTGGACCGATTTGCGGTTTGTTGTCCAGCCCTACATGTGGGCTAACATACCACATTTGTTTGTACAGAATACAAGTAGAATGTCAGAAGTGGATCTTCACACATAAAATTTTAGAATTTTTAATCTCAATTTTAGTGGTGGTAAAACACTTTATAAAAATTCAAAATTGTCTTTCTAATTTCAAAAATGCATATTCAGATGAATCATGTGTCTCACTGAAATACGTTCCAATTGAATTTCACCTTATATATTTTTTAAATTTTATTTCAAAAATGCATCTTTGGAATAATTTCATGTACACCCATGCATTCTTCAGTGAGGCGTTCTTTTTTGACATAAATTGTTCCGAAGATGCATCTACGTATTTACACAAGACAAAATTTGAAGATGAATTTCTAAAACCACACCAGGCAGTAATTTTTTACTTTAATTAAGAGATATTGCGATGAATTTGATGATATATGATAGCTATAATATCATTTTCAATTTTGAATAAATTAAACCACACACATTTGAAATATATATATAAATGACATATATAAGTTAATAAATCTGAAGTACACAATGAAGTAAAAAAATAGTGCTCCTAATACAAATACTAAATACTACTGTGTATGACGGACTCGGACCACAAGCGAACCATCCAGAATAGAATGTTATATCATCAAACAGACACGTCTCGCGGTATTCGACGTGTGTATGCAAGTGTATATCCTTTATATGGCTCATTCATCTGATTCCTCTAGGTGGGATTAATGCAGAGGGATGTGGCATATCCACGGTGTAGGTTGGAGCACATGATCAGTCAGATATGTGTGGGAAGTGTTGGAGGATCCAAGCCGAAAAATGGTACATATGAATCATTAATAATTGTGTAGAAAAAATGTTATGAAAAAGACACACAAATACAAAAAGATGTAAAAATATTACTGGCAAAAGTGTGATGATTCTTTTCAACTATTTGGTCTTTCACATATAGCCTTCAGCTAACATGGAGTACAGGTAGACCAAGCAAGCGATCCCCAATTGTACTCATGGATCTGATCTAAGTCATCAAAGCATCGCAGGTAGATCACATCCACATAAGTGGCATTCTTGTCCACAAAATGGATGTGCCAATCAAATACAACGGATATGTTCTTAGAGCATATGCTCTATGCTGCGCAACCTACTCGTCACCACCAGCGGCCAGCTCTACTGCATGCAACTATTATGTATACAACCTCTCCAGGAATCGAAACCTTGCATGAGCCCCTCGGGTGGCTTCTAACTCCTCTATGGCATCCCCTGAGTCAGCTCTCAAATAGTTTACCATCATCTACAATGCATCATCTTTGTTGATCTTGTCGTGGTTTAACAGTCTCCCCTGATTGAAAAATGTAACAAGCACGAGACATCGTTGAGTGTGATAGACATCTCACCATGTGAAAGATGAAATGATGACGCCACCGAGTGTCATTTCTCTACAAACGCGGACAACGTGCCATGGTTAATCGTAACCTAATATATCCTACACAAGTCTCTCACCAGGCTGCGACAGACCAATAACTTTTCAGCCATGGTTGATGCATTTTAAAGCATCGTGGTCTTGCAAAATAAAATTAGCGTAAAAAAACTTAGAATATTATAACAAAAATGATTTCTAAATAATGAATAGAGGTGAACTTTACATCTTCGTCCTAGACATTTCTATCAATATGATATAGGTATAGATGCAGCAACGATAAGTCTGACAGACATCCTCTAAACCCCTCGAGTGTCTCGGGTTTCTGCCGAGCCTTGGATGCCTGAGTAGGTGACACATGTCTCCTACGGAAAGACGAAGGCGAAAATGCATGAGCGCCAGGAGTTAACGTCTTTACATCAATCAGACTAGAAATGACAAGTGCCTGTGATGATCAAACTTTTTCCCTCTAAACTAATGCATGATGTGCAACTCTGACGTGCCTCAATCTTTCTATGTTATCAACCATTATTCCTCAATCTTTCTAGAAAAATAAACATGGAAGAATTTTGGAGGTGGATCTTCGGATTCTAGAAATCTAAACGTTTAAAAATTTCGGAGATGCATTTTCGTAAGGTTCTGCAATTCAGCTTGTTAATAACGGAAGTGCAGTACATGCCAACATCCAAAACAATGCATTGATCATTTAAATTACCTATCAAACACATAGTTCATTTGAATAACATATTTAAATTACCTTTTACATAACCTAATGTTCAATTTCTACAAATGTATATAGAAATAAATAAATAAAAGTTAAAAAAAAAAAAAAAAAAAAAACTTTCTAAATGTGAGCTTAGTTTTAAAATGGGGTGAATGATTTTAAGAGAATGGGAGTTGAGAGAATTTCAAACTTGAAAGAGTATTTTGAAAGACGAGGAAGGAAAAAGAGTCTGACATATTTTTCTTTAAAATAGCGTCCGAAGAAGAATCTCCGTAAGTTACATAAAAATGCATTTTCTTAATTTTATTTTTTTGCATTGCCTTAGAGTTTAACTCATAAACAAATGTATTTATGTTACGTTCGAAAATGCATCTCGTATTCAATGAATATATTTTTTTCACTAGTGTGTAGTCGCGATCCTTATAGTAACTTTAGCAATTCCCTAAAATTTTCCACAATTTTATCCTGTGATCTATCAATGTTTATGAAGAGAAAACACATACACGATAATACTATTCCACCCACCCAACACCCTCGAGCTGAAACTATGCTTCAGTGACTACCTTATGAATCCCACAACAATTACCATTTTCTCTGCATTGATTTTGACTTGTGCCTTTTATGTTCCTCGGTGGTATTGGTTGAAAAAATGTCATTTTCACATTAATTTCAAACCAACAAACTTCCAAAAGCGACTTAAACATAATTCATATTTGAACACGAACACTTAGATTGAAGATATTCAATGTTCTAGTTCCGTGATGTACTTTTTCTATTCAAGGTAGGCCCAGAAATTGAATGTTTAGAAAAGTAGGTCCAAGTACATCATCCATTGCACAACACAGTAGAAGGAAAAAGAAAGGTCGAAATTAATAGAGTGGTCAAACGAAAGCACAAAATAAGAAAAACGAATTTAAGATTTCTCTTTCTAGAGTGGCCTTAGTACCTAGCACAAAAAATAAAATTGTTCCAATTCAGCCAAGAGAACAAGCTTTCCATTATTACTGTAGTACTGATATTTAGAACAGCCTAATATCATATCAAGCTACAGATCCAGGTGTTGTATTTCTTATCAATTTCGTTGTGATGAAATGGTTTAATAAGTTTTTGTTAATATTGAATCATTCAGAAAACCCTAATTTGAATTCTATCTGAAAGCAAACATTATTTACTCTGGTCAAACTCCAGATTATCAGGGTCCACAGACAGGAATAAAACAGCAAACATCATCAGTTTGTAAGTAACATACCTTTGTCATGAGTTGTCAAGGCGCTTTAATTTGCTATCCATGCTTATCTAAGACAAGATTACAACAAACTTTGGAATGGAATGAATGTTTGAACTTTGAACTTCTAATAATTATAGATAATAACTTTATAATACAAGATACACTTCCCAACAGATGCAAACCTATAAACAAGAATAACAATTCTGGCAATCTACATACATAAGTGGTGAATTGATTGGACCTAAAGATGCAGCCTTTGAAACCTTTAGATGCTCAAGTAATAAATTGGTGCTATACAAAAAATCTATATCATCCCATAAGCAGCTGCATTTTCCAGCAATATAACTACGAACTTCACCCGAGAAAAGCAAAAGAGAGCCTAGAGGCAAACAATTTTAATCCTACAATTTCCAACTGGAAGCTGGAATCCCTTGCTTCAGGAACCAATCAGTCATGTGGAATTTTTCATAGAGCAAAGGTCTTACATCATTCTGCTCAGAGAGTTGCTTGAGAAGTGGAAGAATGACATCTAGAAGCTGATAAACATGTAAATACAGGAGATCGTGAGTATATCATAAGAGTATTAGATGGGTCATTTTATTTATTATGGGGAAAGGTGATTTTAATCTTCATTAACGCAGATTTGTGCACCTGGGTGTCATGTGGATGCCCGGCAGAAAATGGAATACATGGAATTCCATTAACTGGTTGTAATACAAAGCTGAAGGGATTGTTGTCTACAATTACAATGCGGTCTAGATCCTTTGATATGAAAGTAAGATCCTTAACATGTTCTCTATATTCCCTGCAAGCGTATAGCATTTATAAGAATGCTTGTGATTTGTCCGAGACTCCACTCTGAACTTATAGGCAACCAAATAATTCTAAAATTCTAGAAATGTTACATATTATTAATAGCACAATGTGAAAGAAAATAAAAACAACTGCAGAGGAACTCTTACTCCATGTGCTTCCAGAAAGTAACATGAAAAGCCAATAAGTTTTAAACAGACATGGATTTGGAATTAATAGACGCAAGAAATCCAAGAATTCTGTCTAAATAACAACAGTCCTGTGTTATGGATCTATAGTCGGTTGTTCTAATTTGATAGCATTATTTCAGCAGCTGAATTTTCCAACCCCAAAAAATAAGATTGTGAATGCACGATTTACCAACTGGAACATAACAAGAGAACATGAGGTGGACAACTGGAAAGTAATAAGAGTACTCAAGATGAAATCAAGAGTGGGGAATTAATTTATTCATTCTAAGTTTAGAGATTGGAATGAAGTCCTAGTTACCTCATACCAGACCATAAATCAAGTAATTTTGATGGATGAGGATTTGGGAATGAGTTCAAGTTTTGGTAACAAAGCTATATATCACATAAATGTCTAAGTAAATATAATTATATAAACATAAATGTGTAAGAGTTTGTTTGGATTAGTTTTTACAATGGGTATCTCACGATCCATTCTAATATGGAATCTTGCACTCTCATACACTTCTAATGTCGAATTGCAAGTTACATAGTGTGGCTTTGGATTGCCGCACATCTAGAGAAAAGGTAATGCGGAAACAAACACATGCTAAGTAAATGTGAAAAAGAAAGATTAAATAATATATTTATAAATAACTAAGGAGACTCGTTGCAGCATGGTTCATCTATTTCAACACAAGACTTTCATCTATTCAGTTATACAAAACACAACAGTTTAGTGAAGGTTCATTCTATCAGACATAGTCAGGTCATATTATGAATGGTATGTATTTGAATCAAATATTAGGTCTGTGGGAATTTCATCAGTGCTGCAAAGATTCAATGAATTCAACTCCAACTTATAAAGAAGACAATGATAGAACGTGAATAATATACGAACAACTATCAGCAAAAACACAATTCAATATAGTGCCCAGCTATCAGCAACGAATGACCAGAAAGCAAGTTTAGTTACAGAAACATAGTACTGGAACAGAAACAAGGGAGAAGCACCTACGTGCTAATTGTTGATGGCCGATAAAGTCGTAGACTGAACAGATTTTTCTTGTCTATTATGTCAACCAGGGGTCTAGCATAGCCTGTAAAATGTAATGCATACACCATTCAGAAATATTAAACAGAGTAGCCAAAAAGACCAGTTATGCAACAGTAAAGCTTAGTATTTTGGGGAAACCTTCGAGACCAGCGGTAAACAGCACCAGGTCAGCAAATTCACTAAGTTTTGTTAAGAATTCCTTCAACCCAGGGCGTTCAAAGACTGTAACATAATTGATTTTTGGTTTGCCTTCTCCTTCCTTGAAAATCCAACAAGCTCAAAGGATGAGGATATAAGATCCTAGTTCTGGATAAGAAGAAACCAGGAACAAGCAACATACCTTGTCAGAAGATACACATTCTAGCTCAAACCAATTCAAACCAGCTTCGATTGCTTGAGATCGTAGTGCAGCTGGCAAACTTGATGTCTCATATGCACATACTAGTGTTTCATCCAAGTCAAGCACTACCTACAAGTATACACACATATGATCGAAAACTATATTAGCAACAGGGAAAATTATGATAAAACTGGAAGAGAGGATGACTCAGGTCAGGAGGATGTGACAAAAGAAAACACTGAAACTATGACATCATTTGCAATCCTATAACAATTTTTTCGTTCTCATTTTCTGACAACTAAAGACTATTTTCAGCTGGCATGCTTTCCCTTCTATTCACTTCAAGTTTAGTCATTAAAATAATAAAACTAAAAATGCTAAGCACGTCATATTTGACAAGGCACACTCTGATTTCAACCAAAATGCGAGCACTAAAATATTATATAGTAGCATATATGTAAGCCAGATAAGAGTTTTTGCAAGTTTATGCCAAAGGTTAAAAATGGAGGGATACAAAAATTAAAACAACCCTCCAGCTTAATGTGGAAAGTTTAAAAAATGGAGAGAATAATAATTATTCGTCACTAACAAACTACTAACAAACTAAAGAACCAGTACAGGACACAACAATGTCAGAACTAAATCAATATATCATAATAGTATCCATCATAATAAGAATCCAAAACTTGATGGATTTTTAGCTTCAACTATCTGATGCAGGCAAGCAACATAAACAGAAAAAAGACAGGCAAGCAACATAAACAGAAAACAAGACAGGCAAATCAAACAGTATAATACATTTTCTTTCAAATCAGATGATTCCAGAACCCTTTACGAAACAAAGTCAACCATTTTCCAAATTCAACCAGCCAACAACACACCATATCAAACTTACTAACTTAACACACGCATAGAATCAGAAAATTCATTGACTTGCATTTAACGTCATTCGTTGTTGCTATTCGTTGTTGCGCAATAACTGAACACGACAAGTTATAAATCAGAAAACAAGACAGGCAAACAAAACATTATAATCCATTTTCTTTCCCATCAGATGATTCCAAAACCCTTTACGAAAAAAGTCAACCATGTTCCAAATCTGACTAGCCAACAACACACCATATCAAACCTACTAACTTAACACAAACACACGCGTAGAATCGGAAAACTCATTGACTGCATTTAATGTCATGTCGTTCCTCAATAACTAAATACAACAAGTTATAAATCATAATTAACTTAGGATTCTTCCAATAAATTTAGATTCACAATACTAGTACACAAGAGACCCAAGAAGATAGACAATAAGTAAAAAAACATCTCAAGAAGCAAAGAACATTTGCAGCACAAGAAGCTTTAAATTTAACCAAAAGTAAAAAACTAAAAAGCACACAATCTTTAAACCTTAACACATATCTTGTTCTATCATGTAACATATTCATCTTTATCTTTATCTTTATACAAATATGTGTTTTATTTTCTCTTCCAAACCCTACTCATTACAAAACCAACACAAATTCATGTTACAAATTTCAATTTTCAAATACTTCACATACAATAATTTAACTAACAAACTTTAAATAAAAAATAAAAAAATCATAACAGCAAAAAACAAAATCACTAAAATACAAAGCAGTAGTTGATTATGATAATATAATACCGTGAGTTTTTGGACGGGACGGTGATCGGAGACGGGAAAATCGGAGGTGATTTCAACAGCGGAAGGCGGTGATGAATCGTATTCCTGAAGCTCAACAGAAGGAAGAGGTTTGAAGGAAGAGGAAGTTGAAGTTGAAGACGAAGAAGAAGATGAAGAAGAAGAGAGTAAAGGATAGTGACCTAGGGTTCTTATAATCTGCGAAAAGATCTGAAAGAAAAAAGTGAACCAGCTTAAAAGTGATTTCCAAACTTGCTGAGTTCGCGGCGGCGAGTACACCTCTGTCTGAGTCAACTCGCCCATAACAATCAATTTCTCAGATAGATTAAGATTAGAGATTACAATAAAGGATTAAAAGATAATTAAATAGGTTAATAAGGGATACAATAGAAGTAAATTACGATTTTGTTATAAATATCGTGTTTTTCTGTTTGGTTCTGTTGTGTGTGTGAATATGCGAAATTCAGAGAGATGTGGTCATGGTGGTGTACTTCGACGAGGTCTAGAGAGATAATATGAAAAAGAAAGAGAGGGAGAACAAGATGCGTAATGCTCTCCCGAGCGCTGTGGTGGCGCGTCTTTAGGACGCGGTGGCGAGGAATGGGGTTTGGATCTGTAGGGCGGCTGCACCTATGTTGTTGATTGAGAGCCGTTGGATCTTTGGTTTTTAAATGAATAAATCATCAAATTTAGTCTAAGTTCAATTGTTTTAGTGTTTACAAATACAAAAACTTGTGATATATATATATATATATATATATATATATATATACTTGTTTTGATAATAATAATAATTTTAAGAATTATATTTATTATTATATGAAAGTTTATATAAATTTAATTTCATCATAAATTTGAATTATGGTTAAATATGTCTGACGTCTCTATAAATAACTCATTTTTTAATTTTAGTTTTTTAAAAAAAATTCTTTAAACAATGATTTTCACAAAATATTATGTTTATAATTTTGGTCCTCCGATCAACTTCATCTAACTACCGTGGTGTGTCACGCTGAACGTCATGTCACTTAAAATAAATATTACATTTGATTACAATAAATGTGTTATATTGTGGGGTTTTAAATCTCCCTTGTTAAGTTATCTTAAAGAAGTATTTTCAGTTGTTTACATTTACCCTTCCCCATTTCTACAAGTCTATGCCTTTCTGATCCATTCTTATGCTCATAAAAATGAATCCAACAAGGCATGGCATTGCACCATTATATATTTAACAAACATTCAACAATTCAAAATGATTTTTTATCACTAAAAACCTGTTAAACATGCACGGAAAGTGTGACCATTTAGATTATACTCACCACATGTTTGATGAAATGTTAAGAAGAAATTTTGTTTCTTAGACAATTTTCATTTTTGAATGTGCTAAGTTTGATTTATTTATAGGATCAAATATTATTTCTCCACCTAAAGCAAGCAATTAAAAAAGGTAGGATTAATGAAAGTTCAATATCTAACATGCTACATGTATGAAGTAATAAATATGATATGTAGAATTTTGGCATGGTTATTATATAACAGATTTTTATGTGGATAATATTTTTAAAACACCATGTTTAATATCTAAAACGAAAAGGTACACACACAAATACATGCATGTTATGTTTCATTAGTAAGGAGTCAATAGAGAAAGAATGAGGAAGACGTCAGAATAAACAATTCAAAACAATCTTATTCAATGACTTCGTTGAAAATTTGGTCTATGATAAAGTCAAATAAATTAACTAATTTTACATCATAAAGACAAAGAAAGAACAATGGATGTGTGTTGTAGTAGTTTTGTATTAGTGAGGAAAATATAAGCTTGTTGTAGTGAAAAGCATGGTACAATATTTATAACAAACAAGATGTATATAGTAGTGAGGGCAAATATGAACTTGTAGAGTTGGAGAATAAAGTGAAAGAAAAAGTCTGCTTTCATCTAATAATGGTAAACATAAACCAAACATGAATGTAAAGTGAGAAATGGAGAAAAATGTAAATGACATGCAATGTATAAAACAACATCCATGCAGCCATAAACCAAACATCACCATGTTGTTTACCCTTAATGCAATGTCATGATGTTTATCCTTAATGCAGCCATAAACCAAACATCATCATCTAGTGTTAATACTTTTAGTTTTTTATGCTACAATAGAACAAATAACGTGTTGAGTTCTCTATCATTAAGAGTTGGATGAAATTATATGGTAGTTGTTATTGCCATTTTTCAAAGTTTTCATCTTGCATGCATCACACTACTACATCTTGACACTAGGTGGAACACTTCAATTCTATACAGCCTTTAAAATTTGCTCTGAATATACTCCAAGATCACTGAGTTGGTGAAGACTAAAAACTTGATCTTGTTCTTTTTTATCACTTTCCTTCTAGAATTTCACCTAGAGAAAATAAAAGTAGACATGTGTGAGCTTGTTTAAGGATCCCCCACTCGTATTTCTTTGCAAATCGTGTGTGAGCTTGTTCAGGCATTTCGTCGAATAACTTATGAGCGTTTTCTGATTTTTTTTTTTATTGGCACTAAAAGGTGAAGTTTTTAGCCTATTGACTATCATCTAAATGGGGCACTAACTCTTCCTTTTATTTCACTCCCCTGTAGCAAGACAGTTGCACTAGGAAAAAGTATTAAGCTTACTGAAAAATTTCAATTTAACTTTTCTTAAAGTCAAAGTTTTTGGGATTTTGCAAATGGATTTTTGAATGAAATCAATAAAAAGAAAGATACTGAGTACGGGGTAATCTAAACTTGGCAATGGATGAAAATTATGACAATATATTCTTCATGAAAACCGTGGGAAACTTTCTTTGCTTATTCTTGCAAACACATGAACAACATGTCACTATATTCAAAATGATTTAGGGAGATTTAAAACCCTGTAATCTAACATGTTTTCCTACGGTCAATTATTATGTTGACTTTAAGTGATGTGGCATGCCACGCCAACTTTCGTTAAACCAAATAGACCGCAAGGACCAAAAGCGTGGACGGAAAACTTTAAGAGGATCATTCTTTGAAGAAATTTTTTATAGGGACTAAAACTAAATGTTGGGTTATTTATAGGGACGGAAAACATATTTAACCCTTTGAATTATAAATATATTTTGTTTCATAAATTATAAATTTATTGTACAGAAATAGTATGGGCAATAAGTTGCATCGTTATTTTTTTTATGGCAAAATCAATCCTCTTTAAAACAATATTTATTGTTCTAGAAGACACAATGTTAATATACATGAGTCTTTGCACTCTCTGTAAAATATTCATGTTTTTTGTGCTAGAAAACCAAAAGTGTCAAAGACAATGGTGTGAAAGTATGTTGATTGTCGAAACACGTTTTCTCATGTTTGACCACTTAACTTGAAGTGACTTTGAGAGTTGTTTGTTCTACAGTAAAACCTCTAGTCCTCAATCCCACCAGTGGAAAAATCTCAATCAAGTTTACACATTCACGTTTCTCTCATAGCCACTCGTACACCAGAACATCTGTTAGCCTAAGTGTCAATCTCCCCTATTGTGGGTCATTCAAAAAATTCACATGCGCCTCTTTCTTCACAGATACTCCGGCACACTAAAATATATCAAATAATACATCCCTAACAAAGTCATGTCAGTATTTGAATCTTAGAAGCTCCTAACAATGAATGGTGTGTTCCTCAAATGTATAAAAGCACGCCAAGTGGCAAATAAGGAAAACCTCATCATCAAGAAATAAAGGAATTATAACTTGTTATTTAAGAATGGTACGATACTCTACCAGGGACATATGTTGGCTTAGACTATCAATATGGATGGCAAGGAGAAAACCGTGAGCATGTGCTATTTGCAAATAACCAAAAAAAACTTTATGTATTATGGTCGTGTCAAACTTCACATCCTTGTTCTGAACACTTATTAAAAAGGGAACTCGCCAAAACATGTTGAGCTTTAGGAAGGACGATTTCCTTTCTAGTAAAACCGCTAAGGTTAAAATCTAGAATCAGAACACTAATATCATTCAAAGCTCTATCAAAATCAATGTGCATACCATATATCTCATTTTCTCTCAATATATGATCATGTGACATTCATGATTGGGCCCTAGAAGGCACAAACATATATGAGGCAGCCTCAACTGCCGAGTACAAACTCAATCCCCCAACTTTAATGGGTAAATAAGTAATCCTCCATTGAAGGTCCCTAAAGAAAGGACCTCCACCAACCACTATGTATTCAACCGTCCTTTGAAGGTAACGAGAAACATAAGAAATGGGGGGTTGAATTGGGTTTCTAAAAATCAATGTTTTTTTCACAAACTAATTCAACAAACAAGAACAAGAATAATAAAAATAATAACTTATTTTTATCCTGGTTCACTATTAACAAAGCTACCTCTAGTCCATCCGCCAAGGTGATTTCTCCTTCTCTAATGACTTAATCCACTATAATCAAACAAATTATAGACACCACAAAGACCAATGTCCTTGTCTTCTCGAGTATACAAACTAAATCCTAGTCATTTAAGGTAATCACTCAAACAAATTTGAGGTTTACAAACTGTGTTTTACAAGATTTCTTCTACAAAGCAGATTAACACAAAGTTTAATTACAATGGCTCAATCGCACAAACTAACAAAAGTTCTAAGTGTAACACCCTATTTACCCCAACGCATAATTCATAAATAAATCAGAGATTTTTCAACTTATTACATAGGATGTCACACATACACAATAAACAACACATGTTAATCATGTAACATTATTTCACCAAGGATGTTTACACAATATCCAAACTCATATTATATTTACTGGGATGTTTACACGACATCCAAACTCATATGATATTTATCTGGGATGTTTACATGACATTCAAACTCATCTGATATAACTTAGCAACGGAACACAGTTAAAAACAACACAATCAAACATATAACATTCACATCATTGGTATCATAAACTTTACTTCAATTTTAAAAACATAAACAATAGAGTTATATTGTTCAATTCTTAACAACATAAAATCAAAACTCCAACAAACAATAACAAGTGAAATAAACACGGACGGTTCCCATCCCGATGTTACATGATCAGAGCAGACTTTACAAAATAAACGACAACTAATGGAAGTCACTTCAAGAGTTATCCTTCCACTTACTTCAATCAAAGCTACTCCTGAGTATCTACACGATGCCCATGTAAAGGCAACATTCAAACACAAGGGGTGAGAATTCATTTCAATAATAAACGATATAGAATGAAGAATGGAGTATAACATCTACACAATCATGCACAGCAAGATATCAC